GCGCAGAGGACCAGTGGCAACACTGCCTGACTCTCCCTCACACGAATCCCTAAGGCCCCTAGTGGCACTCAAGGGGTTCTTGGAAGACAACTTGAAGCCTTTCACAAAGAGCTATCAGTCTGCTGAGAGTGTCATACAATAGCATACTTGTGCCTGTTTTCCTAACTCCCAACCATATCTCTAAAAGTTTATAAAGTTCCTGATACGGGTACTTCTTATCTCATTTTATTTTTAATTTATTCTATTTTTATTTACTTATTTTTTTAAAGACTTATTTATATGCATATAGAACTGAGGTACAAACCAGAGGTGCAGGGGCAGTGAAAGGCTTCACCAGAGGCAGAGTGGGGGGCAGGACAGACAGATCAACGAAGTACACTGCTGAGGGGAGCAGTGCGTGGGTCAGGAGAGGTCTGCTGCTCCATGTGGGTCACCTCCCAGGCTGGGGATCGAACTCGCATTAAGATGGCTACTGCTCACTTGCAGTTCTACATCCTTACCTGTTGCGCCACCAGAGAGGGCCCTATTCTATTTTTATAACCTTTCTATTCTCATACTATAATCATATTGTACAGTCCATCAGTTCTTAGCATTTCTTGTTTTCTTATTTGTAGCTTTTTTTTCTTCAATATATTTTTTTACTTCAATTTAGTCTTTTCAGTCAATTTTACTCAGCTTATTTTCACTATAGCTATGTGGAATAGTATCAGGAATTTTTTTATTTTCAACCTATATAATTTGTGGTACTGTTTTAATCATTTTTAGTTCACATTAATTTCTTAATTAAAGCATAATTTCCTTTTCCTTGATGTTTTCTTTTTACTTAAAAGCAGCAGGATAGAAGATGGCCCATGGGTTGCTGGCTCCCAGAGAACAGCCCATAGACCAAATAAGGGTATCTGGATATTTGTTCTTCCTCTTGCACTTTCAAGAGCAGCCTTTCAAATGCTCCTTAAAAGATTCCTGGAAGTCTAATTTTAAACTTTTAAACCTGTGTATGTCAAGAGATTCTAAGACTGAAATTCTGCCCTGGAGTAGATGGAATAATGAATGGCACATGTCAGCAGCACCCTTGATGCTGAATTTGGAAGTACCTGGTGGTGTACTGATGCAATAGCAGATGCTCAATCATTGAAGGTTTCCAAACTTTTTTGGCATTGACAGTCTATATTAGCACTGGGGAAATATCTGATTACTAGAAGAAAAGAAGATGTGGCAACAACACTTTGCATGCAAAACCTATTCTCTATATAGGATGACAAAAGGAATTAGCTGAGCCAAGGACATCAGTGCAGTTGAAAGCCCTGCTGAGTTGAAAGCCTCACCCTCAAAGTCAATACTGTCTGGAGAATGAGAAATCCCCAGGATGGGCTGACATGAAGCTGCTGATTGTATGCTTAAAAAATTGCCTGGGTATTTACCCACCCTAGACCTTCAGTTATAAGCTTAACCTGTTATTCTGGGTGAGAACGTTAGACAGAGCAAAAGGAATGTTGAAGAACTAACATGTGCAAATGCCATAGGCCTTTGGTGTCTTCACAATTAATGTTCTTAATTTTGATTATTGGAGAGAAACCCCAAGAATTCATAACTATAATTTTTAATTTGGCTGAGGCATTGCTATGTTTTGTCTACTCTCCAATGCTGGACAGCAGGAATGAGACACACTTAGCTAGTGAGCGAACCTAGTCAACCTCTGACATCTATCTTGATGCAGCTGTATGGAGTTATATACCTAGTTTCATATACACAATAACCTTATGAAGTCATTAAGATGTTCTGTCCTTTAAAAAGAGCTAATTTTCTTGGCAATGAGAAGATAGAAATCGAAAAAGTGATGAGGCATAGTTAGACATTATTTTTGATTAAAACAAAGAATGTGATGTGAAATTAAATGGTGGTTCAGATTTAAGAAAGAGAAAAATCTTCTATGTAATCTGCATCTTCTACATGGAATCAGGGAAATAGGAATTTTTATGAAACTTTCAGTAAGATTCCAGGGCACAAAAAAAACCTAGACATCATGTGAAGAACTAAGTGTGGAAATTCTTAAAGGCAGGACTTGAACTTAGCAGTTAAGCTTTTAATGTAAGAGGACAGGGACAGTATCTGACTTATTTATCACTATCTGCTTAGTACCAAAGACAGATCCAGGTCACACTAAGTGCTACATGTTGAATCACTGAAATTTATCTTATGTAGAGGTACTTACAAATGTGGGACATATTTTTTCACTATGGCACTGTTCAGAAGTTGAAATTATTCTCTGTTTTTCCACAAACAAAGCAGAAGAAAATCAGATGTCAGACCAAATATACCTTGCACTATAGGCAAACATAACTATCATGGAGATATCAACAAACAGTAAAGGCAGTCAGGACTTGCTCTCTTGAAGAGATCCATCTTTGCTGAGCTTAACTAAGAGCAAGAGGGAACTAGCAATTAAGATTTCAGGACCTAGAATTTAAACTCAGGACATTGGTAAAAGTAATCCTAACTTAGCTATTTTTTTACGGTGTGGAATCTAATCTACTTTAGATTTATACTTAAATAGAAAAAAATTTTCTCACAAAAAACTAGCAATAAAGGATTGATCACAAAGATATACATAGAACTGATGAAACTCAACAAAAATAAATAACCCCATCAAAAACTGGGCAGAAGAACTAAAAAGACACTTCTCCAAAGAGGAAATGCAGATGGCCAACAAGCATATGAATGTTAAACATCACTTGTAATAAGGAAGATGCAAATTA